ATGACGGACAGACAGGGGATTTTAGGGAAAATAAAGGGAAATAAAAACAACGCAGTCCATTTTCAATCTTTTAATCAAAATTACCTATTTTTTAAGAAATCCGTATCTAATTCTGGTAAAAATAGTTTGAGGTGTTTTTACAAATAATTAGATAATCGCAAAGTTTTTATTTAAGGTACAAAAAAAGAATACCTATGTCACAAATTTCAAACGGAAATAAAAAAAATGAAACAACTAAAAAAAATAAAAGAACTAAAAACAAAAAAATGAACAGAACTACTAAAAAAAAATCGTTGTGCTTTTGGCACTGTTCCAGTAATAATAAATTTAATAAATCTAATCAATTTGTGTGATAATTCGTAAATTACAATCCTAACAAATTACGAATATGATCTGGGCGACCTGGACAGTCATTAGAGAGTTATTGCAAGTTCACTTAAGGTCAGTCACTATTAGTGCCGCTCTTATTTTGACATCTGAGCATGCGCAGATCACTAACTTTAATAAAGATTGTGCCTGTCCTTAATAGAGAGATATTGCAAATTTCTATAAAGCCAGCCACTAATAGTGACATCGTAATTAGAGCCAAATAAATTCTATAATAGTACCTAATAATAAAGAGAAATTAGAAATTATAATTTTAGAAGGTTTAAATGACGAGCGCATCCGAAAGCTATAAAGTCGTCACTACCTGCTGCCCTTAAACATCCACAATTAAGGACAGGCACAATCCTTAATAAAGTCAGTTTTAGAACATAAACATCTGCGCATGCTTAGATGTCAAAATAAGAGCGGCACTAATAGTGACTGACCCTAAGTGAACTTGCAATAACTCTCTTATTAAGGACAGGCGCAATCTTTATTAAAGTTAGTGATCTACGCATGCTCAGATGTCAAAATAAGAGCGGCACTAATAGTGACTGACCTTAAGTGAACTTGCAATAACTCTCTAATAACTATGCTTTGACGGACTGACGGACACACTATTTAAATGCTGGACTGTCCGTCATAATGACGGACGGTTGGTAACCCTGGCTGTTATCAGAAAAAGAAATAAATAGAGAGTTATTGCAAGTTTACTTAAGGTCAGTCACTATTAGTGCCGCTCTTATTTTGACATCTGAGCATGCGCAGATCACTAACTTTAATAAAGATTGTGCCTGTCCTTAATAAGAGAGTTATTGCAAGTTCACTTAAGATCAGTCACTATTAGGGCCACTCTTATTTTGACATTTAAGCATGCGCAGATGTTTATGTTCTAAAACTGACTTTATTAAGGATTGTGCCTGTCCTTAATTGTGGATGTTTAAGGGCAGCAGGTAGTGGCGACTTTACAGCTTTCGGATGAACTCGCATAAATAAGTATAAGGACGAGGATTCTAATGTCAAAATTTCAGGTTTGCAGTAAGTCTGATTTTAGCATGGAATTTATTTGACTCTAATTACGATGTCACTATCAGTGGCTGGCTTTATAGAAATTTTCAATATCTCTCTATTAAGGACAGGCATAATCTTTATTAAAGTTAGTGATCTGCGCATGCTCAGATGTCAAAATAAGTGCGGCACTAATAGTGAGTGAACTTGCAATAACTCTCTAATAACTGAGGTGTTCTGCTGATTTAGTAAACAACGAAGTATCCTGTATTATTTATGAAATAGCAATTTTTTTAGTAAAGTTTTATAATATTTCAAGAGCCTAAAAAATGTAGTGTGGTGGTTTGTAGAAATCTTTAAAAACCAACGTGCCATCGAACACACCTAAAGAAGTTATTGTTTTTAGAAAAAAACTTTAAAACACTCTGCTGACTTCATTAGAAGATATCAGAGCACCTTGAAACGAGGAGCATAACATTTTAGAATAGGGTATAAAAATAGCCTTAAAATATGGCATAGGTTTCAACCTAAAATTCCGCAGGTGCTCTGCTGCCTTCTTTGGCATGAAATTGATTAATATTTCAGTAATATTTAGTTAGCAGTGACGATTAATAAAGGTGTAAATTTTTCAATTTTTTCATCTTTAACAGTGGCGTGCGTACGGGCACCGACTTCGACATTAAAAATAAATATTATAAACATTATTTTTGTATTCCCTTTTCAATTTGGAAACACAAGAGCTCTCTTGAGTTTGTTATTTTCCTGCGATGCGCCGTTTTTGAGTAAAAAAAAATTCGAGAAAATTAATATACAATTTGGCAATTGATCTAGTTGCCCTTTATAGTCTAAGATCCGAAATAAGGTCGACCTTCACCCATCTGTTTACCGGATGAAAGTTTATTTTATTAAATTAAATATGTTTTTAAATATACCGCAAATAGGTGGCCTAAGAAATTTCGGTCCAGACTATTTATTGTCTGAACGTAAAAAAAAACGACACCCTGTAAAGTATTCCCCAAATGCTTTGACTGTGCCCAAACTTTAATCATCGCAGGAAAGATTAAAGCTTAAGTTCAAAATTTGGTGCTTTTCTCTTCATCCGTTTTTGAGTTATCTTCAAAATTCGAAATTTGCACTTTTCATCAAATATCTCAAATTAGGCCCATTTTAGGAAAATCATGTATAGAGACAAAATAATAGAGAATGACATCATAAACAACTTTTATCATGATTTCTATACTTTCCTTATCTGTACACAGAGAGGAAAGTAAAAAATGGCTGTGACCGTATTTTCTTAGGCAACCCATTTGCGGTATATTTAAAAACATATTTTATTTAATAAAAAAAAAAGTTTTATCCGGTAAACAGATGGGTGAAGGTCAACCTTACTTATGGATCCTGGACTATTATAAACTGTTAAGGTAAGTAATTGTGTTTCAGATAATATAGAGAATAATATGGGGGTGCCACAGGGTAGTGTTCTAGGTCCACTACTGTTTTTTTAATTTACATTAATGACATTGCTGGTGTAGTCAAAAGATGCTCAATACACTTATTTGCCGATAATACACTGATATTTTACCCATAAAAACACTGAAACTTGTTTTAAAGAAATTAATAGTTCTATAAGTAAAATATATGATTATTGTAACGGAAATTCGTTGAAAATAAATTACGAAAAGACAAAGTAGATGTTAATCAGGAGTACTGGAAATTTAAAAAAATTAAATGTAGCATCGCAGTGTGTTTCTGTTGATGAAATAAAGTTTCAGAGAGTTCAAAAATTTAAATATCTAGGGATTATGGTTGATACAAATTTACAATTTAAGGAACATGCTAATAACGTCATCAAAAGCATATCATTTAAAATAAACTATTTGAGACGCTGTTCCCACATCTCAGCAAATGGGCTAAAATAATAATTTAATACTCTAATATTACCTCATTTTAATTATTGTGCCACTATATTGTATTTTTGCTCAACCAGAATGAGTTGCAACGATTGCAAAAGTTGCAGAATAGAGGTATGAGGATAATATTGAGCTGTTCAAGATTGGAACTAATCAATTCCATGTTGAATGTGCTTCAGTGGTTGCCTGTTAAAAAATATTTGCTATTTTATTCCCAGGAATCTCCCCAGTATATTTACAAAATATTTTAAGTTATAATCAGGATGTTCATGAACGCAATACAGGAAATAAGAAAATTTTTAGAGTTTATAAGGCAACAAAAAAAATGTACACAAAATTCAGTGTTTTTTAAAGGTGTGCAGCCTTTTAATAATCTGCCTGAAGATATTAAATGTTCTTCAAACGCAGCAATATTTAAAAGAAAACTGCATGAGTACTTGCTGACCACTTGACATTTTTTTTTCCTTACTTGTTATTTTATTATGTTTTGTATAGTTGACAGGTAAGTGTACTGTATCTTATATTTTATTGTATTTTGAATGTATGTTGATTCTATACTTATGTATTTTTTTATATTTTAAATGTAAAGGTGTATTGATATGTAAAAATAGTTTTTTTGTCTAAATAAACAATTTATATATCACTGAAAATGTTAAAACCTCTAATTTTATAGCCAAACAAATGCTGTTATTTTAAAACATTTCCATAACGACCAGAAACATTTTCAAACATTTTTCTCATATTGGACAACCTGAACGAAATTATACTGGACATTTTTTGACATTTGAGAAGCTCTTTTATGCACATATTATAATGCCACGCGATGGTGTGATTAAAAATATTGCCATTTCAGTGATTAACATTTTATGTATTATCAATTTTAACTAGATATAAATACAGTACATTTATTTTAGGTAAAATAATAATTACATTTTTTGCGTCAACTGAATGACTTCAAATATGACAAATATGTATTAGGCATTCCAACGACCTGTCAAACAATAGGTGCCAGTGGGAAGTTCTTGTATATCTAAGGAAGTAGCAACATACTCTTGCATCTTGGACGCTATTTTTATTCGAAATAGTAGTCGCCAAGCCTGCGAATTTATGAAGAAATGGATAGGCGGGTTTTTTAAATATTATTTTTATTGAGTTTGACATAAAATATTTAAATGTAATCCATTATTCATGATTTTACATATAGTAGATAGAATACACATCGTATGTCACAACTCCTAGGTATACCAAAACTTCCCACTGGCAATTCATTTGTTTGGAATGCCTAATAGTTGGCATGGCCAACTTTGCAAATTTATTTTAGTCGTTTTAATTCATGTCTGGAAATTTTTGCTCACTGCTCATGAATATTTTAAGAAAATTATCCCGAGTCCAAGACAAAGGATAATTTTCAAAATATTCGTGAGTTTGAAAAAAGTTCCGGAAATAATTTAGGCACTAGTGGTATTATAAGTGATAATCTCAAGCGGTTACGAAAATATTAATTTCCTTTTTTTTTTTCTAAAATTTTAGCACCCCATATTTTCGTAATTTTTCACCTCACACTCTGTATTAACTAAATATAGAAACAGAATAGTTACATTAAAATCTTTTCCGTTTATTTATCGGCTTTAATTATCTTAATTTGCATACCAAAAAATAATTTCTGAATATATTATATTTTAATGTTCTTCTAGATACAAATCATTGAAAACTTACGGTTTATCTGGTTGATTTTTCCTAACTTTTTGCTCTTCCGCTTGAATTTCTTCAGCCCTAGTAACGCTTCTAGTCCGTCTTCGTACCCCTCCTTCACTGTGTTCGGAATGTTCAGTCATTTTTTTAATTAATTAGATTAAAAAAACTCAACTATAAACACTATGATTAAATAAAAAATCTAGTTCACCGTGGCCAAGTGGATATAATCGCTTATATTTACGGTGTATGACCTTTACTATCATTATCAATAAAACATGTTATCAGGCGAGACAGTCCAAAAAAAAGACTGTTTGGTTTGAATCGAGCACGAATTTCCTTGACGCACCTTTTGATTTTTGAACTTTAGTTCATTATCTTGACGATTGTAAACAACATAACCTCTCTTATTCCGACGTTTTTTCAAGAACGCCGGGACCAGTGTTGCCAGAGCACTTTGAAGGAATGTAATAGAGCAACTTTCAAAATTGTAATAATTTTAAAGAAAATGTAATAGAAGTTTTTTTATTCTTTAGATTTTGCACTATTTGTATATGTAGCGGTACTCGAGGCTTTTGGTTTCTTTATCACACATTTAATAAAATATTTATTATATAAAATTAAAATCTGGTGTTTGCAAAAATAGCAGAACATCTATATAAACATAGCTTTATAAACTGAATCCATTATTAATTAATAACAAAATTCTCCCCTGTCCATAAAAATGTAAATCAATTCAATGTGTTTAACATTTATTTAATGTATTTTGTCCTGTAAATGGATTGTGGTGCGAAGACGTGACTTGTATAAATTTGGGGTATTAGTTGATCGAAAACAGTGAGCAAAAATAAATTTAAATCTGCATAGGCATCATAGATAGCCATATTCCGTACCACAATACGTCATGCGTGAACTCGATGAGATTTCATCAGCTAAGTATTCCTCTGTAATGTTTTGTATCATTATTAGGAACATCAACATTCTAAACAATTATGACCAGAGTTTTCTAACCTTTTCCCTAGGTCAGAGAGAATAAATGAAAACTAAATGTATAGTAATAAAAGATTGAAAATATATATACTTTTAAGAGTTTTATTATGTCAGCCATAGTTTTATACCAAAAATGGAAATAAACTGAAATTATACATTAAAAATACATTCATAAATTTACTATACAACATTCATCGACTTTCTCCTGGCTAAAATATTACTTATATCTATCTATTCAGCTCTGTTCCGTCTATTTTTTGCCTTTAGTCTCCTTCTGACACTTCCATTCGTTCTTATTCAGTGTAGTATGCATGGTTTTCAGAATATCAAGTGCTGGGTCCTGCAAAGTTCATCTTCAGTACACCTACTTATGTGACATCTATCTCGATGTCAAGTTTGATTGAACATCCGTTTCTTGCCTATTACTCTTAATACTTAACCAGAACTCGCTTAGACTCGGACGCAAATGTCTAATTCGGCCAAAACACAGCCTTAGTACACAAATATCTATTTTACCGCTGGTTTCATTACAAAAAAACTGGAGTAAAGTGTAAAATTATCTCTCGTCCAATACACTCGAGATTAGCCTATATTATTTTGGATTGAAGACGTATACATTTAAAAATGTCGTTTACTTAAAAATAAACATTTAATTTTATTTAACTCAATCAAAACATTAAATTATTATTTTCCATTTATATATGGGCTATACCGGACCTGTATGTACTCTAGTAGCTGAGTAATAATCTTTCCTCCATGTAGCTGAGTGTTTCCGTCAGTGGCCGCCACATATTCATTAGCAGTGTTGCCGTTTAGGTGGAAATTTCCCCATTGGGTGGATATATTTTTGGGAAATTTGTTCCCATCGAGGCTCCCATAATGACTTTAAAGCGAATAAATCTTGGATTTCATCTTTTTAATAAATAGATAATGTTGATGTATTTAATCAAGACCTGACACATGAAATTATGTTTTGAAATATGACATGTTTTATGTTTAAACATAATGACATGTGTTTAATTGTTGTGATAGAAGAGATTTAAAGTGACGTTCTGTGTATTACTTCGAATGAAAAATCGATAATGCAAGTTTTCTAACTTAAAAAAAAAATCGTGACTATATGTCAATCAAGATTGAGTTGGGCCTTAAGTACATTTACGGATTTGTTGCTAGTTTGCTACCACATACTTTGATTTGTAACTACCCATTTCTAAATTCACGCGATATAACCTAACTTCTATTTTCGTTCAAGGACGACTCGGCTGAGTTTTGTTTATAAATAAGGACCTAAATTCTCCATTGTTCGAGAAAATGCAATAAGATTTATTAAAAATGTAATAGATTCGGTACAATTGTAACAAACTGGCAACACTGGCCGGAACTCAATAAAATCCTACTAAAATTTTAATGAAAAGGTACTAGATTTACAAGAAACGTACTAAACTTGTTAATATAAACTCCGGTCATTTCAAAAACAACAAGTTAATATTTTCAGTAGTCAAACAAGCTCTTTTATACAAAAATTACGTTTTATTTAAAGATACATTTTTTGCAATTTTGGAAAATATATATTTAATATAATGGTTCACCTATGAAATTATAAAGAATACAGCCTCACATCCCCAAAGTGAAAACAAAAATTGAAATAGCTGAGATATACAAAATGAATGCATCGACCCAGGGATTGAACCTGAAATCTTCTGACTAGAGCCGTCGGCGCCTCTACCTGTTTGGCCGTCGCACAACTTGGCTGCGACAGTAGAGAATTTGTAGTCAATCAGATTCCTCTCTCGTTAGCGCACACACACATTCTTCTCCCCTCTCAACGCCATCCTTGTAACATATTGTATATGACAATTTCAGATTGTACTAGAATAAGTTTCTAAGATTGGTCATTCGCTTAGGAGTGTTAAATTTTCGAGTACAGTTCGTCATAAACGTGAAATTTTAGATTCATCGAATTTGAGCAGCTAGCAGATTTTGACAAAGTAATTCGGTTACTAAAATTGTCTTTTAAATTTTATTTTAAAAAGCGTGACGCACTGGCAACGCTGCTCTACACTCAATTTCAGTAAATTAATGTTCATATCTAGTACACCTTTGATATTAAATCTAGTACGTTTTTCCATGTTTTGTAATTTCCTTGTGACAGCGCTGCTTTCAAATCTTGGAAGAAACGAAATGAAACGAATAATAAAACCAGTATTATCTCTTAATATTTATCTAACAGTAATAATTATGAAAATATCCAAACATTACAAATCACAAACTGCGTTCAAACAATTGCGTGGCGAGTTGAAACAATTCCGGATCGTGCCTTTTCGGAGCTTCGACGTGCCTGTCGGTTATGGGTAAGTTGCAGAGGTGTCTCCTTAACGTTAGGTCTCGCCTAGCGGACAAGGCTCGCCTATGGGGCCCCACGCTGGTGAACAGACTCTTCCTTATCGCCAGTCTTTCCCTGAAATTGAAGCTGTTTATCATTTTTCTAAAAACAAGGTCAATACTTCTAAAGATTACATCACTAAAATCCCTATGCTGATACTTGAATAATAACCTATAAGCAAGAATTTGATTAATCTTATTAATACAACTTTTGAAATCACTATTATACATAATTGGATGAGAGTACTATCAGTAAATAATTACAATCGGCCTGCAGACTCGTGGAATTCATTTTTAAAAAACATATTTTGTGCTTCATGCGATTATTGATCAATTTAAAAAAAAAACATGTATTTAACACTTTTAAGTGTCATTTGTCAATTTTAGTGTCATCTGTCAACTTTAGGCTCATTTATAAATTAAGGCTATGGTACGATATTAACCGAAATATCGGTTACTCGGTCCAAAGCTAACCACTCTGCTTACCATTCCTGAAAAAGCTGTTAGGGACAGGGTTACCTGAAAATGGTGACTCATACGTCAATTTACTAACCGTTATTTTTTTACGGTTACCATTAATTCGAATGTCAATCTGTCACAAAAGTCACGTAAATCTCGGCCGTGCTCCAAATGTAACCAACAAATTGGTTTTTTTCAGGAACTGCTGTCAAAAAATCCTGGTTAGTTATGGTTAGTAATCGGTTAATATCGGATAATTCCCCTAATGTCATTTGTCAATTAAACTCTCATATGTCAATTAAAATGTCATTTAAATTGTCACTATCAGTAAGAAACAAAGGATACTGGAAATAAACATATTATCTAAAATGTAGATACCGAAAAAAAGTGCTTATTTATAGAAAATCGTCTTAATCTGAATACCAGAAATTAATTTCTGAATATAATTTTATATTTTAATATTTTTCTATATTTTAAAAGAAAACTTATAATGATAGAATTCGTATTTAAAAAACAAAACTTACGATTTATCTGGTCTGTAATTTTTAGCGTAATTTATCAATTTTAGTGTGATTTCTCAATTTGCATCGTTTGTCAATTTTAGTTTCATTTGTGAATTATAGTGTTATTTATCAATTTTAATTTAATTTGTCAATTTTAGTATCATTATGTAGTTTGTATTAGTTGTCAATATTAGTGTAATTTATCAATTTAAATTTAATTTGTTAATTTTAGTATTTTGTAGTAGCATTTCTCAATTTGCGTAATTTGTCAATTTAATATCATTTGTAAATTTTGTGTCATTTGTCCATATTAGTGCCATTTGCCAATGTTAAAGTCATTTATTAATTTTAATGACATCTGTAAATGTTAGTTTCAATTGTCAATTTTAATGACATTAAAATTTCCTCATAGTATGGATTAATGTTGTTAATTTTCATTAATTTCGTTAATTAAAATCGATTGCATTAAATTAGGTAGTGTGTATTTCCTAAAATAACTACAGTCCGAAGTTAATCGCTATTATGGCATTGCAGAACACAAACGTCTAATTTTTAGACCAATAATTCTTACCTGTCGGCCACTTGAATGGCGGCCAAAGGATGAGTGACATTAATCTCTTCGGGTTCCAAAATCTCCCGTTTAATTTCATCGACTTGTTCTATCTTAATTTGCACTTCGCCCCCATTCAAAATCGGTTCTTCAGGCTCCGTTTTTACCTTCACCTCCGCATACGCCTTATTTTGGCTCTTAACGTTTTCTTGCGCTTTCAACTGCTGCGATTCCATTTCGGCGTGCTCTCTATACACCTGCTTCACCAATTCTTCCCCTACAGTCGTAACAAATACATTGGACTAATAGAGTATTAAATATAAATGGAAACTGACCTGCCAGCTGTACAGACACGCCCAAATTGACCAACACGTTGTGCGGCTCCCAACGGATCTTGGCACAGCTCGAAGGCGTCGATCTAGGCCGCGATTCCGCGACCAGACTGGCCCAATCGACCCCCAAAGCGTCGACCAATCCGCGCATCTTCGATTCCTCCTCCAACTCGTCTTCGGATATCTGCAAAACAACGATTTCAAATAAATACGCACTACATTTCATCCTCTATACCTCTTCGAAATCCAATTCCATATTGTCTTCGTCGATAGAAGCGGGTTTATTGTTAACGGGAGACTTGGCAACGGGTGGCTGTACGGGGGGAGGCGTTTGGCTCTTTTGCGACCCCGGGGACGGTTTTTGTTCAGTCGTTTCGATAGTTTCCTGCGCTTCCGATAATACCGGCTGTTCGTCAATCGGCGCTTCTTGAATTTCTTCTCTATTCAATATATCGTCGGCATCGTCACTGATCTCACTCAGATCGTCCTCCAGTGGTAATTGGACTTCCTGTTTGACGACGCACAGCTTCTTAGAGCTGGCCGGACTATCCACTGGTTCGTCGGAGAGACGTTTTTGAGACAGCGGGGTCGATCTGTTCGGATCTTCCTCTTCGACCGGTTCCACTTTCATTTCCACTACTTCCTCGACCGGTGGTTGTTGGACGACTACAGGAATGACTTCCTTCTTGCGATTGGAATCCAAATTGGAATCGTCCGATGGGGGAACTATAACATTAAATGTCATCTTCATCAAACTGAACAGTTTTCAATATGCTATAATGTTCAACCACATTTCCTTTAGTCTTACTGGCTTATTTTGTCCCTTAACATCAACCTTACCACTTTTCTAGTGGAGCCTTTTTGCTTTTTATCCCAAAAATCTGTAATCCTAGCTCCTAAACTCATTTCATAGATCTATGTATGTTAATAAAGAATTCCTTCAGATAACTTTCCCTTTAAAGTCCGTGGCCACCCAAATTGGGAATATTGGCCAACTAAAGATCCATCCGAACGTACAGTGGAGGCGGAAATAGAAATAAAATACAGAAATCTAACAACTAAAAAAGCAAACTCCGAAACTTCTTCAGTGCAGCCTTGTTGTAAACCATCTCTCACCATCTATCAGCATCAGAAAACGTGCTTACAAAAATACAGAAAACGAGACAATAAAAACATAAATGTAACAATAAATTATTAAAATCATTCATTAAAATTACACACAAACAAAAATACAGAAAAAACCCTCACTACAAAACAAAGATTACATTATTAATAAACATAATATGTACGTACCGCTCTGAATATCGACGTGATGCGACGCACTACTCCTAGGCCTAGACCTTTCTCTCCACTCCTGAGGCCATCTTCTTCTATCTTCGTTATTCCACGCATCCATCGATCTATTATAATGCCTCCATTCCTCGTCTACGGACCCCACGGCGGCTTGCTTGTGTTGATCTACGTCCCAATTATCCCTAGTATCACCCCAATCGGATCGTCTATTACCGCCTCTATCGCCCCATTCGTGTTCCGCGTAATCCCCGTGCGGATGATCGCCCCAATTCTGTTCGCGCCCGCCGTACCTCCCTCTGTGATCGATTTCGTCCGTCCGATCGTCCCACAAATCCCTCCTACTGCGTCGATCGTCACCGCCGTACATTCTTTCATCCCCGTAATGCTCTTCGACGTCTAAGTACCGCCTATCCTGATGGTCGCGTCCTCGTTCGTACGGACTGTCGAAATCTTTGTCTCTGTGTCCCGTTCCGTAATCTCTATCGTGCTCCGAGCGCCCTCTATCGTAGCCGCGATCGTAAGTTCTGTCTTTGTCGAGGTCTCCGCCCCGACGGTCGGGTGATTTGCGGGATAGGGACCGGTCGGGGGTGACGCCACGATCCCGACCACGCCCGTCACGTCTATCGCGGTCTCTCTCGGACGAGTGACCTTTACGCGATGGTGGTACTCGTTCTTCCAGCGGTGGGAGTAGGCGTTCGACTCGATCTCCTAGATCGGAAAGAATTGTGACGTATTAAATGAAGAAGTAGTACTGGAGGCATGAACATTTTAAAATTCCTTCTCTTATCAGGTTTCAAAATAATGAAATTAAAAAAATGTTCTCGACAGCTTTTAAAAAACTAAGGTAATATTTGTGGCATAATCTTGTTAGTTTAATTCTTGGCTGAATCTCACTGATCCATAATTATTTTACTATTATTAAATGAGCTAAACCGGAAGGTTGTGAGAAATTTTGATCATTCTAACATTTAATAACTCTAAGAGTAACGTACTAGATTTGGCGCCCAACGTGGGGCCTGACGCGATATTAACGAAATATAAAAAGAAATGTTTATTCAAACGTTACAAAATGCATTATATTCTTGAAAATCAACACCAAATGTTATAAATGTAAAAAATCAATAAAAAATTTGCAAAAAAAAAACTGATTTGATTCTAATTTCATTATATTTAAAATAAGTAGACGGAGGAAAGTATTCCTTACCGGCCGGTTTATCCAATCCCCTGTCCTCCCTCCTGCTTCTATCCCGCCTCTTTTGCTCCTCCTCCTTCTTGAGTCGCTCCCTTTCTCGTTGTCTCTCTTGGCATCTGGCCAGTGCTTCTTCTCGTTCCTTTTCTCTGGCTTCTTCGCGTTCTCTGGCCAACCGTCTTTCTCGGTCTCTATCGCGTTCTCTGTCTCTATCTCGGTCGCGGGAATCGCGTTTGCTCGGAGGTTCTTTTCTACCGGCGCCGCCTCGATCCGATGATCTGCCGTCCTTCACCCTCGATCTACAATTTTATTTGGCATAAATCATCGATTATTAACAGCGAGATTACGCCAGTTCTGGACTACCAGAACTAATTTTCGCCGCTAGATGGCGTTGACGATTAAGAATTCCGCTGGCGACTAAGGCTTGCGACATGTTAAAGTTTTAAATCTGTCTAAATATCATCGATAGTGTGCACGCAAACCTTAAATGCTCGCGCCACCTATCGGCGAACATGGGTGTTAATGAGCTTCAAAACGCTTGAGTAACTTCAAAATACATAGTTTCCGGATTAGACCGGAAAAACGCTAGTTTCCCAAAGAAAAAGCATCCGGAAAATGGGGTCTTTAGACGCTTACCGAAAAATAACTATTAAGAGTGATCATCTTTGTTTAGATTTATTTTAATAAAAAAAATTACATCCTTAACGTTATTTAACAACCCCTACAGATTTACAGTTATTCCAAAACCTAATTTAACTTAGGAAGGAAATTGGATAATATGAAGACTATAGTGAACCTGATAATATAATTCGACAAAAGAAATTAAAGAAAATTCGTTAAATTTATTTGACGATGTAGCTTTTTGTAATCAAAAGATACCCAAACAACTTATTCGAGATAATTCAAACCTTATAATAACTCCAAGAAGATATTATATTATAACTAATCTGAAACACATTTACGATAATCTAGTTAATATTAAGATTTTATAGATGTGCTTATTTTGTTGGGAAAAACTTTGATACTTTCATACGTATATAAAAATACTTGTTATGCAAAATATTTAGTCAAGATAAATTCTCAAGTAATTAAACCATTAATAAAAAAAGGAATATAAATAAATCAACAACTCTTTTGGATAAAAACAAAATAATTAATTACCTTCCTCTATCGTCTCTTCTATCACCTCTTCTGTCATCTTTTAAAGGACTTTTATGATCTCTTCTGCTGCTATTGCTGCCTTTGCTTCGTCCCGGTGACAATTTCCTGTCTTTGGAATGCGAAGAATCGGGCGTATCCCTTTTTCTGCCGTCCTTAATAATTCTAGCGTCCCTTTTCGGAGATCTGTTCAACTCCTTCTTTTTGTGCTCCTTCTCTTTTTCTCGTTCTCGTTCTTTAGCTCGCTCTTTGGCTTTTTCGCGTTCGCGCTCCCTTTCTCGCTCCCTCTCCCGCTCCTTTTCTCGTTCCTTCTCCTTTTCTCGTTCTTTCTCCTTTTCGCGTTCTCGTTCACGCTCCTTTTCGCGTTGATTGTCTTTGGACGTTTTCGGCGAGGGCGTTCTGTGTTTTTCTTTGACGCTGGTGCGACTTTGAGGACGTGGCGAGGATTTTTCGGAGCCCAGTTTTTTCGCAATGAACGATTGCTTGATTTTGATGGGAGGGGTTTCGGATTTTTTGCGTGGACGTGTCGGCGAAGGGGATTTGTTTTTGATGGGTTTCGGTTTCTTCGATTTGTCTCTTGGAGTCGATTTGGAAGAACGTTGTTTGGATTTCGATTTGTGCTTCGAACGACCTATGGGTTTAGGTAACTCAGAATGTTTTTCAAACTGGGTATATCATTACCTTAGTTCAAAAAGGAAATAACTTAAAAATTGTCAAAAATAAGTTATTTCTATAAAATTATTAAAAAATCGAATAATGTCCAGTTCAAGTGTATTATAATGATAATAAATATTGATACTTTCTTTTTTCAAAAGTATTTTCTAATCGTCGTTCAGCACAAAAATTGTTCAGTATTTTTACTGCCTACCCATTAGATAATCAATTTTACAAACAGCTGTTCAGTGTTCTCATTGTTTATTATACATTAAATTAGTACCTTTAGTTTTGTTCAGTTGTCAGTTCTGATTTTAAAGTTCTTTCCGTTCTGTCAAGAAAAGACAAACTGTTCACATTTAATTGAATCGGTGAGTTCGACAACCGTACACGTCCACAATTTTTATTTTGTTATTGACTTGAAAAACCGTACGAGTCACGGACATGTAAGGTTTTTTTTCTCATTTCACGGATACAATCAACTATGCTACGTTAATGTCTAAGTACTAGTAAGGTTTTTAAGCTCAATCGATGAAGAGACAAATTTTAAAACAAAATGAAAATCTTACTTTAAAATGTTAAATTTTGGACTTGTACGGTTTTCGAACTCACCGACTCAATTTTGTTAACTTGTTATAACGTTTTTAATTCAATAAATTCCATAGTTTTAATCACTCAATCAAACATTATAATATATTACTGAATCAAACCAAAATAAACTAAATGTTTCAAAAATCCGTTATTTTAAGATGTTTCTTTTAAGAACTGAAGTAACGATATATTTATTGATACATATGCAGGTTATTTTATGTAGGGTATTCCTAATGATCATGTCATTATCAAAGCAGACAATTTCTTGATCTATTTTATAACTAAAATTTTACATCAACTATAAACAAATACATATTATTTTTTTTTACTTAGTAAATTACAACATTGGCCAGAAAACTATTGGAAGGCATAGAATAATAGGCGTGGCCATATATATGTTGAAAATTTCAAAATCATTTCATCAGCGAATATTTCAGAATACAGAACTCATGAGTAAATAGAATGTGGCTTTGAGAATATTTTCTGAGATTTTTATAATAATAATAAACAATATATTTTATTTCAAGAAAGTTACATAATATATATTTACACATAAAGTAAAATTAATGGAACAATCATTACCCAAAGGAAGAAAATTGTATTACTGCTATTGTGACATTTCCATTTGATAATCTATATAAACAGTAAGGATTAATTGTTAATAAAATTTTAAATAAGTTGCAACAATAGAACCACATATACCTGGTATTACCAGTGAATGAATTAATATGAAAAACAAACATAATTTTTTGAGTACTGTAACCTACCGCAAAAGTTGCATTCTTATTAATATCAAAATCCATCATTTAACAAAAATCTTTTAGATAATTAAATCTTATTTATCTAGCCTAATAAATAAAAGTGGAGTCTCTAATATTATATGTACGAAGCACAAAATGAGAATTCGAACCAAAAACCTCCATAAAACATATTTATTTCACGAAATAACAATCATTAAAATAGTTAATGTACTTCTCTTTAGTCAGTTAAAATTAGTGTTAAATGTCTAGTTTAGACGAACCTAATGTCTATATTTTCAATGGTGAGTCAAAAGAGTTATTGTAACTTTTTTTGAAATATCACCTGGGTTTTTCGTTTAAAAAAGGACCGACATTTGCTTCAAAATATTATGTAATCCAATAAAACAGATGGCCTTTGAGCATTCACCTGAAAGACAGTTAAGTTAAACAGCTGTTTTTCGATGGCTGAATTTGGTTCATTTCAATAGAAAATATAAATATCAATATTTTAGAAATATACAGGGAAAATTATGCACACAAATCTAAGAAAACATAGATGGTAAAATTTAATAGTAAGTTAACCAACTGGTAAACTCACACTGTTCGTTAGCTCAAGGGGGCACCTATACTAGCCATCCATTCTACTAGGTTTGATTCATAAAGTGTATGTGAACATCATGGGCGCCGCCACACAAGGACATGGGGGTATATAAATAATCAATTAATTAACTAGATGATCACTACTACTACTAGAGGAAAAAGGCCAAATACAGTAAGTATAGAATTTAAAGTTAAAACAAAAATAATAAAATTTCAGATTTAAACAAAAATCAAAGAAGTCTGGGGGTGGGCGACTACAGTACATTATTTAACCTACATCAGAATGCAACTAAGCAGCCAAATAAAAGATGTGTCACACATCAGGTACAATTATCAAAAAGAGAAATTTAGAAGGATTAAGAGGATAATAATGTATTCCTGATTAGATTAAAAATATTAAGTCTAGTGGCATCGCATAGGGAAACCTATAATTGATATATTTTAACACCATGTATCTTAAAAAAAGTAATTTAGAGCAAGCATATATTCATATAAAACTAAGTCATGTCACATGTCATGAAAACACCAAATTTTGAAAACCCATTTATTATTAAATTTTCATAAAAAGTTTCAGGTTTTTTTTAAAGGTTCTCTCACACCCCGTCATAAAAAACCTTTCATATCATCAATGAATCTCGATAATTCTTTTAAAAATCTCCTCTTTTAAGCAATGCTTTTACCCAAAAAAGTGTTCAGCCTAATTGTCAAGAATGTTGATAGTAAACGCGAGTTTTTGAGTTTCCATAAATTTCACAATTTTTTTTTTTTCAATTTTCACCAAAACGAAAGTGACTTTCCCAAAACAGATAAATTCTTAGTCAAGAAAAAGTTGGTCCCGCCGGAAAATCTGTGAAAAACCACTTTTCCGAAGGAAAATTTTCTGACAGGAAGAGAAAATTTCAATGTTTTTCAAACAGACAAAATGTACTTAGGTTCTTTTATCTTAATCATAAAATAGGACAAGGGATTATGACACCCTGTATATGAGTCAGAAGTCATGACATTTGCTTGTAGGTTAATGTAGTATGGAATGCCACAAGGTTCTATTCTAGATCCCAACCTATTTTAGTTGGATCCTTTTATGCAGAGCAGATGATACCTACAACTTTTTCAGATTTTTTTTATAAAAGTTACTACATAAACCCAAAATATATTTACCAAAATTAAAATGTTTGCGCTTTTGTTGTGGGAATCTCCAAAAATATGAAAACTGCTCAAGACTAAAGAACCCTTACTTTTCATAATACACAAAACACAGTGTTTAGCATAAGAAGTTTCAGCCCCTCAATCAGAAAATTAATTTACAATGTGCTTTGGTATTTTTCAGTCATATTGCAGAAAATTAGATAATTCAAAATTCATTTATTATTATATTTTTCAATTTTTTATATGCTTAACAGGCCAGGTAACGTATTATGTAAACCAGCACAGCAGCTAACATGTTAAACAATATGTATTTTTGTTAGTGAAATGTTAATATTGTCTACAAGGATGAACAAATAATATCTTCTTAATTTGATGACATATATGGTACAAAAACTAACCTCTTTCTTCTGACGATGTCGAGCTAGTTCTTTTAGTTTTGACCTTTTTCATCTTCTTTCTGCGTGCCTCGGCAGAACTAGAACTCGAACTCGTATCGTCGCTGCTACTGGAAGTCTCAGAAGACGTACTAGACGTCTGTGAACTGGGGCTGCTTTCTTTCTAAATCAATTAAAACAAAAATACTCTAACAGGGTTCTAATAATTTACATTTTATTTGATTCATATACCAATAAACTTTATTGTAGGGTACTTACTTTGACTTTTTTATCTTTCTTTTTAGCCTTACTTTCCATTTTCATTTGCAACTCGAGCTCCCTTTGCAACTCCTGTCTCTTTCGCTCTAGATCATCCGGGTCAGCGTCTTCGAGTTCGTTTGGGTCCCACTGATCCCATTCATCGTGCTGGATGCGCTTGTGTCCATCTTTAACGTGTCTTCGTTGGGTTTTGGCCGCCCTCTGCTTTGATGGGCTGATCAACGTGTGTGTACTCGAATATTTGCAACCCTTCCCGTACGGGCAAGACCCGCTTTGCGCCCAGTGATGGCAGTATTCTTTGGGTACTGTCGTGGCCTTGGTGCCGAGTCTTTCGAAGACCGATGGTCTGGTTTTCGTGGGGACACCTTTAGATTTCGAGCTGAGATTTACTGTTATCTTCCGCTTGATTTTAGACATTTTCACTGATAGTCTTCAATGTAAATACGTAAGAGTCCTCAGAAGCACTTGTAGTTAACATAATTCCGATGGTATATCGTTTGATATGTAGTTTTACTTTAGAATCATTAACAAATTCGAATAACCTCTTCGACAACACAAACACAAATTTTTAGGGTGATTTTACGATTATCGACATCGAAACGAAATGACAATTGACGTTTCAGAGATCGATTGTTGAAAATCGATTTTAAAAATATATTTTAGTTTATTAAACTTTAAATTTCAAATACATAACAAATCACGTAATAAAATTTCATAGAAATAGTTTATAGGTAGCTATATTAAATATATAGAGGTTTTATTATCAAAAGTAGGACTATTTTTATAGTGGAAATTATTTCAATCGATTATACTAAATGAAATCGATTCGACAATGTAATTTGTAATTTACCTACATTTATTTTAAAAATTTTGTTTTTATTCATATAATCTACAATATTTTTCTAAAATTGGACAATTTCCTATTTTTTTAGATACACCCGTTTGACTAAAATTCAAAATATTAATTGTATATCTGTATTTGTTCATATAAACCTTCCTAGAAAATGGATAAAAACGATATTTTTCATACTATAAATAATTACAGCAGATTTAGGAAAATTTGTAGATGATAATGAAATTATTTTATTGTCACGTAGGTACTTTAGAAAAAGGCAGAAATGTTCTTTATGAATAATTGAACTTGAACTTATTGATTTTGAACGGAGTCCTAAATTAATAGTCAACTCTTCACCCAACAGGTATATAGGTAGTCCGGTCCCAAAAGAGCGATTATATGAAGCATTAAAATTATTATTAAAATTTAGCCGTTTTTGCATACATATGCTGCGTTTGAGAATCCACATCGGATGCATTTTTTACATCTCGAGCGTTTTTTTATTCACATCGGACACATCTGCCCCATTACATTTACGTATACTGAATCACGTGATCAAAGATTTTTTACATCTCAGATGCATCCGATGTGGATTCTCAAACGCAGCAATAATTATATACTTAAATTTCTTTATTAAAGGAGTCTAAAATTTATAAAAATTCAAGGAATTCAGCCAATATTAAAGAATTAAACGTACGTGCTGGGCTTAGAGCTCTGCGCACGGGCCAAGTTTTTCAGGCCCGGTCCGGCCCGAGTCCGCTTTTAACAATAAATTGTTGGCCCGACCAGGCTCGATCCTGATTTTAAATATGCCTGTCAATATATAATGTCTATTTACTGTTGTGCTAAAGTTTCTTTATCTGGATGATGTCATATATAAAACGAATAAATTACTTTTTTTAATTTTGACATATAAAGTGATATTTTTTGTAATCGTATCAAGTTTCAAAATGACCTACTTTAAGCAACCAGTTGCATAATATTGAACATTATAAAACTGGTTTCGAAAAATTTATTGTCACCAGTTGCAAAAAGAAAAAAAATAAAGCGAAGAAATTGACAAAATAGCAAAAGATTCAGAAAAAATTGGCAAGCAAATAGTACAATTGCTAACCAATGACAAAAAAGACTCGTCATCTAGAAAAACAGAAGCGTATATATTGCAAATAAAACTGAAGAAAGAGAGAAATTATTGGAACAAGGGAATGAAAACCATCTCAAAGTATTAAAAATCGATCATGTTTATTTTGCAAGTCAGTATTTTGATCAAATAAAAGGGAAACACGATGAATACAAGAAATATCTTAAATATTGTCCAAAAGCAGAACCAGATACACAACGAAATAGTACTAATGAAGAAGTGAAACAACAGTAGAATCAAAAAAAATAAATAGTAAAAATGGAACAATTAAAACGCACTATCCAAAAAAAAACAACAAGAAACAAAATACAGGTATGAGGTCTTATATAATAAAGTGTAAAAACAATAGGATGCAATACAAGAACTATATGATGAAATTATGGTATACGAAACGCGTTTTACCCATGACTGTTTTGTTATGGACATATATTTAAATATGAAAAACCAAAATGAAATAGTAATGGAAGAACTGAATACAAAAACAAACAAAAAATTATTTAACACTCCAGACAGTATTAAATCCAATGTGGTATTACCAAAAATAAATATCCCCTTCTTTGATGGCAACTATGAGCATTGCTGTTCCTTCAATGATATCTTTGAAAAGGTTATACATGAAACATCATTATCTAAGACAGAAAAGATGCAATATTTGAAAATAATATTAACAAAAATGTGAACAATAAAAGGGCTTTATTTAACAAATTTTATCCTGAATAGGTTAGCTAGAGTTAAAAGTTTTCAGTTTACAAAAAAAAAACAGAAATGAATTAAATTTAACACACAGTGCTGATAAGATGAAACCTTGGGCCCTGCTTATAGCTTGGGTCAACATAACTGAGTTTTATAATAATTTTGTCAAAATTAGGTTTGTTTCAACACCAGTACTCACTTTCTACCATTGAGGTCTTTTCTTTCTGCCAGCGCTACCGCCAACATAAATCACTAATTCTCACCTTAACACTCACCAACATCAAAAAAATAACAAATAACACTACATAACCTTTTCTTCTTCGTTACTCTAACTCACTTATATAAGTTAATTATTTAATGCCGAAAATGTTTTCGGTTGTTGTTCATTTGAAATTAAATGATAAGTCAGGTTTTCTTTCCTTTTCCTTCGTTTGTAAAAAAACGTTGAATTTTAAGTTATAGATTCAAATACCAACGATGCCAGTACATAGAAAGTCCCATAGACGTCTCGGACTCGGACCGAAAACTAAACGTTATGTCGAAACGGGACCAAAATAGGACGTCCTTCGAAAGACCACCTAGTCTTCACGGTAATTATGGGACATCCTGTGCTATCTGGGTTCATTCTTTTCCATCATCAATAATGAATTTTAAAGTGGTATAAGTATGAAATAGGTACAAGACGGGTGCAAAATTAATGGCGCAACTACATTGAGAAATAATTGTATTTGCTTATCCATGTACGTATTTTATCTGAAATCAATTAATAATAATTGAATAGTTATTTTTCGGTGTAAATAACAACAATTAGCAAATCGTGGTCCAGGTGCATATTAAAATGCACAGAATTAGCTTTATTAACAAAACCTATTTGGTTTTTGTATGTACGCATTTTATGTAAAATCTACTGTAAATATTTTTCCGTTTACCGTGTAATAATCCATACAGTTAATGTTGATAAAATCAGCGACAATGTTGACAGTTTTGTTGCTCGCCTAATTTAAATTTGGTATACTATAATAATATTTCTTTTTAATAAATTATTTTTAAGTTATTGTTTAGTTACATGTTTTTTTTGTTTTATTATCCATAATAATAATAATAATAATAATAATAATATCTTTATTAGTACTAGCCAATGCTGCCATCATCATAGATGGATGTACACATCAATATTAATGAATAAAATTTTAACAAAAATTTACATTACACTGAACACATACGTAATAGTTAAACACAAATCAAACTATTTTTTAAAGAAGACTATCTTCAGACAAAAAATCGTTAACAGAATAAAAGGAACCACGAGTAAAAGTAGTTATTACATTATATTTAAATTTAGTGTAAGATAATCGGGTCGATGGTGTAGCGGTTTAACGCGCTTATATTCATTTATAGGCAAGTTTATGAGTCCGAGACTGCTGGGATTCGAATCCCAGACCAGACCATGTGGATTTTTAATTAAATTGCATGGTTCCGTTTAGGATTTGATGTGTGCCGTATTAATAGAAAATTCAATTTCTATTGATATGACATGCATATTATAAAATCGCCATACATTATCGTCTCGATGATGGTGGGTGAGGTTTTCCGGGTTTTCCTCACCTGTAAGTCAAATGGCACCATCAATCATCCTTAAGTCGCCCCGGAGCGCCACGCAAATAATAATAATAGCCGTCCCTTCCCCTACACAAGTCGTTCAGTCGACTTCAGGGGTTGAAATTCACTCGTAAGGGGGTGAATTAGAGAGAGTATTATTATAAAGCTTGAATATTTTTAGGTAATTTATCATAGAGTTTTATACCTTTATATTGCGGTAAATAGTGATGATATTCCTTTTTTCTAGTTTGTAATAGTTCCAATTTTCAATATTATTTGATTTTTTTGCAAACCTATAGGTATTGTGGAGTTAGGAATGTTTTACTCGTCCATTTTTATCATACCAGCTTTTAGTATTCTATGTTAACATAGACTGCATATCAACTCCTTTTTTCCTAATTAACGTAGATAAAGGCAACACATTATACACTACTTACGACAAATTTTCATTTTTTATATCTATTTTTTAAAATAATGTGTGCTCTCTGGGATCAGGATCGACAAGGGAGGCAAAATCCCCGGGAAAAGGGAAAAAAGGGTCCCGACAGCTGTAGCAGCTGAGGCCTTTTTTGTTTAGAAGTTCGCCTTAAAAGGGAGGACCTGGTTTATGAAAAATACAAGCTGAGAACTTCTTTTTAGATTTCACCAAGAATATATCTGATTTTGCTAAAGGCCTTTGTTTTAGAAATTTACACAGAAAAGACTTGATTTTTATAAAAATGCTCCGCTATTTTCCGGAAATCTGTCAACCCCAGTTATATAAGGCCTTGTTAGTGTTTTTGCCCCGGGGCCCACCATGGCTCTCGGCGACCCTGTCTGGGGTAGAGCATTGTCTGTCGAATATAGTAACACCCTGTATATGGGTAGATCTAGATCATTCGCCAAATATTTCAATCGTCCCAGAAAGGATCTTAATGTTTTCGTGTTTTTATTTGTATGACGATCCCTTCCTAAATGACCAGGCCCGACGAGAAGGGGTAGGGAGGACAAATTCACGGGGCCTGGCAGCTTTAGCTGGGGACGTTATATTTGGTTAGAAATTCGCCGCCATAAGAGGAAGGACCTGGTTTACAAGGTGAAGACATTTTGTTTTTTTTTTTTTTTAGATTTCATCACTAAGAAAGGAGAAATGATCTGATGTTGCTTGAGAACCCTTTTTTTATAAAAAATGCCCCGGAACCCGACCATATGGCTCTCGGCGGCCCTGTAAGTGACAATATCGGAATACCTAGGTGTTTTATATGGTTAATAAGTTTAATTTTTATGGTGTTCATTATAGATTTTCAATTCATTGAAACTATAGGCATTCCATTTTTACTTTCCTATCTGTATACAGATATAAGGAAAGTATAGGAATGATGATTTTTTCGACCTCGAGTTTTCGACGGATTTTTACGTTTTGAGGTCCCCTGAATCCGTTTTGACTATTTTCGCGATGATGTGTCTGTCTGTCCGTCCGTCCATCCGTCCGTCCGTCCGTCCGTCCGTCCGTCCGTCCGTCCGTCCGTCCGTCCGTCCGTCCGTCCGTCCGTCCGTCCGTCCGTCCGTCCGTCCGTCCGTCCGTCCATCCGTCCGTCCGTCCGTCCGTCCGTCCGTCCGTCCGTCCGTCCGTCCGTCCGTCCGTCCGTCCGTCCGTCCGTCCGTCCGTCCGTCCGTCCGTCCGTCCGTCTGTCTGTCTGTGTGTCTGTATCCACCATAACTCATGAACCGATACATAGAAAAACACCAAATTTTAAACTTAAAACGCCCTACACACGTAACGATTTATCGTACTGCGCATTGAACTGCAGATCGTAAAGAAAATCGTACGGCTTGCAGTACAGCCATTTTTTGTACACACGATGCAACACATTGTACTGCCGCAGTTCAGATTATTCAGTTTTCGTCGAGAACGGCTACCGTTATGTCAAGAATTTCAAAGAAGAAAGCTGCGGTATTGCTGATAGATGAAGATGATGAACAAAAAAAAATCAAAAAGCGAAAATGGTGTAAAAAGTGGTTGCTGGAGAGAAAGAAATATTCACATATGAGGTTGTTAAAAGTGCTGGAAGAAGAAGAACCTCTTAATTTTAAAAACTAATTAAGAGTGGATTCTGATGTCTTTACGTGTTTGATGGATTTAGTTTGTAATAAAATTACGAAGCAAGATACAATTATGAGAAACGCAATATCTGCTGAAGAAAGATTGGTTGCAACACTAAGATATTTAGTAGCAGGATGTTCTTATATTGTTTATTTTCTTTTTCATCACTTCTTGTGATGCTTCTGGGAACAATTCCTTAAATTTTTTAAACAAAATTTGGTAACTGTAATTTCTTTTCATTTTACTTGCATAATCTTTTGATTTCACATCCCATAGGCATCTATTTTCTCTGTATAAATCAATAAAGTCTTCCCAGAACGTCTTATTTTTTAAATCCATAATATTGATTAAACCAAAAATAAATAAAAATTATATCGTAACTGCGCGGTGCGGCAGGAATACACTCCACACGTTCAGACTTGCGTTCAAACCCCACCCCAGACACGACCCGTTGATACGATATTTTACGGAAGCTTCCTACTGCAGACGATTTGACGACTGCATACTGCAAACTATCCAATTTCCCTACACACGATACGATTTATCGTTAATGCGGCAGTTTCGATGGATATCGTACTGCATGCAGCACGATAAATCGTTACGTGTGTAGGCCGTTTAAGCTTTATTCCAGCGTCCAATGAACTGATTAGATTTTGGACCGAGTCGGAACATTTGGGGGGTACTTTATAGGTGGTCATTTTTATATTTTACGGAATATATCTGGTATTTACGTTTGGAGAACAAAATTCTTTAAATAAAAGTTACTTCTAATATTATTGTCTATAATTTTTGTTCTATACAAAATTTTCCTAAAATGGTCCGTATTCGAGAAATTTGACAAAATGTAAAAAAATCATTTTCTATAAAAATTGTTTAAATAAAAGTTGTTTGTAATATAATTCTATATAATTTTTATTTTATACATAATTTCTTTAAAATGGATCGTATTCCAGATATTTGAGAAAATGTGTAAATATCTAATTTTGAAGAAAACTCAAAAACGCAAAAAGGAAAAAACATTAAATTTTAAACTTAAGCTTAATTTCGGCCTGACGAGAAATGATTAGATTTTGGACACAGTCGGAACATCTGGGGGGGGGGGGGTACTTTATGGAATATATCTGTTATTTATGCTTGGAGAAGAAAATTTTTCAAATAAAAGTTACTTCGAATATTATTATCTTTAATTTTTGTCTTATGTCAAATTTTCCTGAAATGGTCCGTATTCGAGAAATTTGACAAAATGTGCAAAATTCTGATTTTTAAGAAAATTGTTAAACTAAAAGTTGTTTGCGACCGATCTCTATAATTTTTGTTTTTACATGATTTTTCTAAAATGGACCGTAATGGAAAAATTGGAGGAAAAGTGCTAAATTTAAATTTTTCATTATTTTCGTTTTCAATGAATAGAGAAAAATGTTTCGAGTTAGATGTATGTAGAAAATGTATATATTTAGTTTATCCTCTAAACATTTATAGAGGTGCTGCAATAGGTTGTACAAAATAACCGGAAAAAGCCTATAATAACTAGATAGGAAAGTCATGTGTTCGACACATCAGATTTTTGTAACTACAAACAGGTAGAACCGTTTTCTCATAATTAATTGTATTTTTTATAAATAATTCCATGAAAATTATTTCCTAGAGAGATCCACCAAGCAATTGAAAACCTTTCTTAATAAATTTTTCCAGAACAGGAATTGTTTAAAAAAAAGCCCTTGCGCCCTCAAACTATGGCTTTCCCAATCCCGTCCCTTCCTTGTATTGTACGCTTGCATCCCGAGAGTGTCGTTCGATTTTGCGCAAAAAGGCGCTAGTTGTGAACCGCACTTTCTCTAATATGGCGTTATGAAACCATTCGGACCATCTAAAAATCCAAAATGTAAATATTTTTACTATTTAAACCCAGTTGTAGTTGTACTAGTAGACGATTGATTCGTTAGACTTGCATGCTAGTTGCTTTTCATAGACAATAGATCGAAATATTCAACAGACAATACCCACGTGTTAGTCCACGAGAGTGATCGATAAGATATTTGCAATAGTTTTGCAATTTTCTCGATCATTTCAATTTGTCATTGCTGTACCGGTGAAATAAACTAGTAAAAACAATTGTTGAACTGTATTATTTAGCACAATAGTCAAAAATATTCTTCCAGATTGTGACAAGCATATTTTTTAACTTGCCTCCTGCTTTCTTTGGATTTAAATGGATTTAAATGAAAATTATCCATGAAATAATTTTTGACCAAGGTATTAGCCACAGCATGTCAACAATGAATATTCACCATCACGAGATTTTGTCGAATTCGTGGTGTAATTAGTTTCACCACTCTCCCCTTCACCATCAGGTTCTACATTTTAATGTTTAAATAAATCACTTTGTATATTTTTCAATTTATCATACATTAGTAAATACATTAATCGACAGATGTACCAGATGTACCTGTCGCGATACCTTCCAATAATAATTGAGGTGCCTCAGGGCTCAATACTGGGTCCAATATTATTTCTGACTTCCATCAATGATCCGTCAGCAATTATAAAATCCGAACTAGTGATTATGTGCTGATGATGCTACATTTAGCTACGGCAGATACCCTCTAAAATACTCAAGTTCAAAATAAGCTACTAGTGATGCAAAAAAATGGTTTAGGTCTAATCCTCTGAAATTAAATGAGAATAAAACTAGTTTTTGCAAAGATAACCAATATTGAGTACAGGGCATGCCAAACTATTAGGTGTATTTATTGATGAAACACTGACTAAATTGAAAAACTTATTTGGCAGGGAGATTAAATAAACATGCTCAGATTAAATAGTATTCGTTCCTGAAATACACGGTATTAAAGTAAAAAATTCAAAAATTATTGATGGCTATAATTTTTTTATTTCTCAGTATAATTTTACTAAATTATGCAAACATGTTCAGTATCATAAGATAGACCTATGAGTTAAATGAACTTTGCCAGTGGCATACGGCTTAGCACCTTCATCCCTTCTAAATTTTACACCACTGTCCCAAAACTTATTTGGACTATAATTTTATATTTTTTGATGTATGTTAAATTAATTATGTACTCTTGTTGGGAACTTAAAAAGTAATTGTTTTCCGAGATATTCGCAATCAAAGGTGCATAATCTTTATTTTAATTTAGTTTTAATTTATTTTAAAATTTTAATTTTTTTTATAAATTATCAACAAAAACACATTATTTTAAAAACATCGAAAAATTTTAATTTGTAGTCCAAATAAATTTTTGGACATTGGTGTGAAATTAAGAACATATGAAGGTATGACACACCCTGTATATAATTTATAGTACATGTATGTACATTTTGTAATTGTTATTTTCTTTTATAGAATATTTATACATATTTATACATTATGACAATGTAATTTTTACATGTTTGGGAAATTATTATTATTATCATTGCCCTTTATCTTTGTTTACTCTATGCTATCCCCATTCTTAGACCAGGAATGTGGAAAATAAAATACAGGGTGTTACATTTAAAAAAATTACTGCGTAGTCCAGAAGGGGTGAAATTAATTGCAATATTATTTACAAATTTATTCGGAGTAGGGGCTTGGAAATATATTTTTCTACACCCACATGGATATTAGCTTATCTACGAAAAAGTTTGCTATTGACTTCAACTCAACGAATATATTTCATATCCATTCTGGTAAAGAGAACACTGCAAAAAAATGAAATCCACCAATCACCGTTCATATTTTGATCAACCGACTGCTATTATTTTTAAAATTTTAAATAAGTGACAATTCTGTCAAACTAATTGTCAGTGTATTTTTTAGTTATTGGCATTAAACATACATTAAAATGGGTTATTCTTGTGTAGAAGCAATAAATAAGAGCATTTCTTTTTTTATTTCGCCTATAATTGTAAATAATTTGTTAATTTATATGAAGTCAAATTAATTACGAATATTAAAGCAACAAAAATAAAAGAATAAGTGGTCCTGTGGTTAGCATTCTTGCCTTCCACGCGGAAGATTGGAATTCGATTCTCGGATGGGGAAAAATAAAATGAACTTTTTTTATTTTGTTTTTCGTTTATTTTATTTATTATTAAAAGTCATAAATTATTTTAAAATTAGTTATTTTGTCTTAATAACCTAAAATATTTTTTTATTTGTAAATTTTCGTTAGTGGGTCGTAACAAAAATATACTGTACAACTCGAATGGATTGTCCACATAGCACTCAGACGATTGGGCACTCCGCCTACGGCGTCGTGCTCAAATTTCGTCTTCGTGCGATATGGTCATCATATCCACTCTTGTTGCACAACCTTCTATTTTGGAATTACTGATAAACTTTTTTAATGAGAGAAGAAGATATTTATAAAACTTTTGTATGTTATTTCATTTTGTTTGTATGTTATTTCATCTCGGACCTACACAAACTCAGAGGTGTCGCTTAAATGTCTGTTACTTTTTATCCTAAATTTTGATGTCATATGAATATGTGAACTATAAACAGAGCTGAGTAAAATATTTTTGCAAAGTACTTCATTTATTTTTAAAATTGCTTCATTTACCAAGCACATTATTTGAAAAATAAAGTACCCAGCCCTTTAAGGGCTTCAACTACTCATTAAAAGTATTTGAAACCCATTATGGCCTTCAAATACGTATTGAAAAGTATTTGAAGCTATTAAGGTTATTAAGGGTTTGGACATTTAAAAACATAAACCATTTTTATTACGAAAGACAAAACCCTATTAAAATTATAAAGTCTTAAATATTACCGCTACCCCCCAGACTTAAACTTTATTACCACTATCCTCAGGCTTAAACTCTGGATGCGCCACTGCATCATTTGATATATATTTAGTGAAATCAAGCTTCACGTTCTCGAAGCATTTTTAAAGACTCCAAGTACTTTAAAGCCCCAAGTGATATTATAAACTATGTCAAATACCAAATATCAAATATTCTAATTTTAAAAATTATTTAAAGCACAGTGCTTGTAGCATTGAAACCGTGAAAGGGCTACAAGCACTTCATTGAAGCACTTCACAAAAATGCTTTACCCAGCTGACTATAGATATATAGATATACAAGATTTAAATTAATTATTCCTTTTTTTTATAGTTTATTACCATCCCCTTTCTTCAAAATGGCTGTTTTTTAATAGTTTCTCTTAAACACATCTTTTGTTGGATTTTTAACTGTCTATAATACAAAATTATGTTGGAACCATACAATCAAGATCAAATATGGATTGTCGTTTTAGGTTTTATAATTGCATTCGTTTTAGGTAAGTCAAAAATGTTCAATATCTTCGATTTATATTTAGGTACCAATAAATATCTATAATTTGAAATGTTTCAGCTTTTGGAATAGGAGCAAACGATGTGGCAAACTCATTTGGCACCAGCGTGGGATCAAAAGTATTGACAATATTTCAAGCCTGTTGTCTTGCTACATTTTTCGAAGTCACTGGGGCAATTTTAATAGGTAAGTTCATCAAATTGAAATTTTTTATGTCTAAAGCAGAAATATTATAAAATAATTTAAGTTTCTTTCAAAAGTTTATTAGAATGTTCCCTAGATTGTTTCTTAGATTGTTCCTTAGATTGTTCCTTAGATTGTTTCTTATAATGTTCCTTAGAATTTTCCTTAGAATTTCCTTAGAATTTTCCTTAGAATTTTCCTTAGAATTTTCCTTAGAATTTTCCTTAGAATTTTCCTTAGAATTTTCCTTAGAATTTTCCTTAGAATTTTCCTTAGAATGTTCCTTAGAATGTTCTTTAGAAGGTTCCTTAGAATGTTCTTTAGAATGTTCCTTAGGTAGTCCTTAGAATATTCCTTAAATGTTTTTTAGAATGTTCTCTATAATGTCCTTTATAATGTTATTTAGAATGTTCCTTCGAAAGTTCCTCATAATGTTCCTTAAAATGTTCCTTATATTATTCATTAGAATGTTCATTAGAATCTTCCTTAGAATGTTCATACAATGAGCCTTATAATGTTTATTAGGTTGTTCCTTGGAAATATCTTTAGAATGTTCCTTATAATGTTCCTCAGACTGTTCCTTAGATTGTTACTTAGATTGTTCCTTAAATTTTTCCTTAGAAAATTACTAAGATATTCATTAGAAATTCTTTAGAATATTCCTTAGTCGTTCCTTAAATTGTTCTTTAAAATGCTACTTAGAATATTTCAAACATTATTTCTTAGAAAGTGTTTGGTATTATGCACATAATCTGCTAAAATTTGAAAACTGTTTTTTTAATAATTTGAAAAATTTATTTTATAGTATGTTCTTTGAAATATTCCATAATATGTTCTTCGGTAGAATCATTTAAAAATGTTCCAAACAAGTAACAGTTGCACTATAGTACGTCAAATAGAATGTTTTTAAAATGTTCCATGTATCAGACTAGTTACATTTATTTTGAATAAAGTTTTCACTATAGACCTCCAGCAGAAGAATTTGTTTAAATACGGCTTCTTGTTAATTTTAAAAAGTTATTGTCTGAAATGCTCTTTAGAATGTTCAAAATGTTTTAGGTTACAAGGTATCAGATACTATGAGAAAGGGAATTTTGGATGTAAACATGTACAAGGACGCTGAAAGAGAACTGATGTTGGGTTCGATAAGTGCTCTAACAGCGAGCGCCATTTGGTTAATTGTCGCCACGTTTTTCAAGCTACCTATCTCAGGAACACACAGTATTGTAGGGGCTACGGTGGGGTATAGTTTAGTTTTAAGAGGCACCCAAGGTGTTCACTGGAAGACTTTAGGCAAAATAGGTTAGTATAGATCACTTTTGGCGTGGCGTGTATATTTGTTTTTATAAAAATACTTCTTAACATAGTTATTATAATGACTAATGACATACTTAATTTTTACAGTTGGTTCATGGTTCATTTCACCGGTATTCAGCGGCGTGACTTCTTGTTGCCTGTTGTGGGTAATAAAAAAATGCATCCTTACACGTCCCGATCCTTTGGAAGCCGGTCTGATCTCCTTGCCACTTTTCTACAGTTTCACCATTCTAATAAATTTGTTTTCCATTGTTCACGACGGTCCGAAGTTACTCCACATGGACAATATTCCCTTTTGGATGGCCGCTACCATCAGCATAAGCATTTCTTTGTTTTTTATGGTAATTATATGGTTGTTCGTGGTACCGTGGCAGAGAAGGGTCATCAAGCAGGAGGAAGGTCGGGCCGAGAAAGTCGCCGTTAATTTTAACATAGGGGAATCATCAGGTAAGTGCAAAAAGTTGGAGTTTTGTGTTTGTCTGATTTACTTGTACGATTTTAGACACGTCGCCCGAGGGTAGCCCGAACCCAAGCCGCAAATCGAACCGCAACTCAGCGTTGCTGGAACGTCAATTAACCGTCATATCGGAGAGCACCGAGCTGCAGGCGCTCGACCAAACGCGCATCACGGCCGCCAAATACATTTTTCCTGTGCAGACGATCGATAAGCACGTGTTCGCCCACGCTCCGGCCTCCGCCACTAAAGACTCCACCAAAGAGACTGAAGTCCGCAAGTACATTAGACCCACCGAGCTTAAACTCGTAGAGAGTACCACCAGCGTAAACCCCGCTCTATCGCCTAGCTCAAGTGGCGTTCCGCTGATCACCAACAGGAGTTCCGGCAATGGAGGTGATCAAGGTGGGTAAATATATATTGATAAGTCCTCGTAGGTTGTTTAAAAAAAAAGAAAACGGCATTTGGTTCAGTAGTTTAAAATAATTAGAAATAAAAACAGGAGTTGTATTTAAAATGAGCAGGCTGGGATTACATTAATATAATCTTGTCATTTATTATTAGTCTAGCTCTTTTGGCTTATTAGGCCATCATCAGGACTCTAGAAACAGATTGAGTATGTCAAAAATACGTAAAAAATATTAAAAATTTAAAAGCTTACTCGTTAGGAACAGAATGAAATGCAGCGGTCAGAACATTATAGTGATAGGCATCCGTCACAAAAACCAGCAACTCAACTAGAAGTAGTTTAAAGTGAATAAACCAATCATGTGGAATTTCCTCTTTGTGTTTGGTCAAAGGCCTCGTGGGCCAGCTGATGCGTTCATTAACCCCATTGATTTTAAATAGCTTGACCCATTTTGAGACAAATAAAGAGCTGCTATATGTTGACCGATTGGACTTCGAATCAGGAATATACCACCCTACAGGATTGCACTGTAAAAATTATGTTTAGAGACAGCAAACTCTTTATTGAACATTAATAGATATCTATTATCGGTAGAAATTTTCCGTTTTGTTGTAGTTTCGTATAAAAAGTCTCTGGGTGCGTATGCTTGAAAACAAGAGAAACTGAAACTCCCTGGGGAATATATTCACTTTATTTTTACTTTCCCAAAAAAATTGGTATTCTTGAAATAACGTGAAAGCCAAGGGAGGAGAAAGTAGATGGTGAAAATAAATACAGAGTTGCCAGATCTATTTAGATCCTCCGACCAATTAGAAACTACGAACTTTTGACTGCAAATGACACTGCTGGCATTTTAAGTTTTTATGATTTGTTGTCGATAAAAATCGACAACGAAATTTTGACGTATATTTTCACGTATAAACATTTTAAAATGCTATTGTTCATTAAAAATAATATCACCTGTTGTTTTAAATAATTATCAAACTAGAAATTCAAATCTCTTGGCAATAATTCAAGTTTGAATATCCTTCTAAATGTCTTTAAAACTCTACGATTGTAGAAGGTATTAGGTACTTTCCTAAATAGGTAATCAATTTAAAAACATGAGTCAACGTCCAGACACATTTTAAAGATGTGAGGGAGTTAGGTATTACTGTTGGAAAAAGAGAGTATTATGTAGTGTACGGGGGTAGTTTTACACTACTACCCTTTATAATTAAACAAATTGTTGCTCCATTTATTTGTCATTTTGTCTAAAATTTATCTGCGTTGAATAAAAATTTTTCTTATTATTTTCGTGTCTAAATCCATTTTAAAGGGAAAGTAAATACCGCAAAGGTATAAATATACCTGAAAAAACTACTAACAACTCAATGGGTTATTAATCGAATTAAATTACGGGTTTTGAGCGTACATTAAATTGTAATTAGATGAAACAAAATGGATTCTATGTATTTTGAGTTGATCTTTTCGAAAAAAGGCAAAACAAAATGTAACTGTTTTTCGAAAGTGCCAAAATATTGGATTTTGTCAATTTTTTAATTTTGCGCAGGCGCAAGCGTTTGAAAGCTTAAGAAAAATGCTAATTTTCATGTCTCTTGAGAAATTTTGATCAGATGCAACGTTCTCGCGGTATGGACGATTGAAATTTGTTTAGTATTTTGAAGGTCGAAAAATTGAATTTGTTAAATGTTCAAACACTAAATTCTTCATAACTTTGGTAAAATTTAAGATATTTGGGTATATGGCGGAAGGGCAAAGTGTACCGCGGGCCTAATTTCATTGTTTGCCTATAACGGCCAAACTATTTGAATTTTTTTAATGCTATTTACAGAGCTTACTCTTGAATGTAAAATCTTATGTGTGTGTGTGAATTTCACCGAAATCGGACTATAATTGGCCAAGATATCAAACAATTAAACAAATTTTTTCCCTAAAAAAAACTAAATTTTTTTTCGAAAGTTTGAAGTGGCACAAAAATGCCAAAAATGCACCCAATGGCTCAAAACTTTTTTTTTGAGTACTTTATTGTGTCTAGAATACGATTACATTACGGAAAATTCTGCAAAAATATTTTATCTATTTTTTTGAACAGTTTATTGAGTGACGACCAAAAAACACGTTTTTTGAGAAAAGTTGCCTAAAATTGACGATTTTCAGTGTTTTGGTCTGAAAATTGGACAAACCCAAATTTCATGTCTTCTAAATGTGTATACAAAGTTTAAAGTGTGTATGTTTCTTCTAAGTTGTAGAATTCTCCCGACAAAAATCCCATTACACGCGCTCCGCGGGATCCAAAACTCATGTATACACTGCATTTCTGTAATTTAATTTTTTTGCGATTTCCAGTTTTAAATTTCTTACATATCTAAATTTATTAGGCTTAACATTTATTAAATTGTATTTTTCTGACTTATTATAAGACGTTTCTTGAGTTTTGTGCAAAATATAGAATGACTGTAAAATTAGCCGCACGTCGCATCAAGGATAGCCATGATCTCGGCGTTCGCTATCCGACATGTTTAAACTTCAAACGGTCATATTATTTATTACAAATTGAATCGCTTGATAGTGTTCATCGGCATAGATTTTTAATAACCGTATTCAGCAAGCTCTGTGGACACGTGGTTTTTCGGACTTCTTCAGCAATTTATTGAGTAAGTACATTCCTAAATTAAGAAACTTCTATCACTGTGTTCTTTTAAATGGTGAGAAATTTAGTTGAGTCGAACAACGACTTGTCGATTCATTCAAAGAAAGAGAAAAAATTGGGAAAACATTTCAAAAAATATTTGGCCACGTTTTCGCGAAATATTGCAGATTTGCAATGTGACCTATGACATTCGAAATATAACCGAAAACTACGCATTTTTTGTGCTTAGAAAATTGTTCATAAAACGAGGGATTTTCTCTTAAATTCAACATTTTCCCTTATTTTTTCGAGAAAATACAAGCACACTGTCGATTTTTTCCGTAATTTGGGTACTTTACAGACTGAAAATATATAAGAATAAGTAAGTTTAATGAGAAACAAGCTTACTTTCTCTCTCAATTGTCAGAAAACGCCCCTTTTCTCGAGAAAATTCGAGTAGCTTCAATTCTCGCGAGAATTACCGATCTTTGCACACGTGGCCTCAGAAAACAGTGGATGCTAGAAAAAATGTATATGCCACAGTTTTTCATGTCTTTTTTTTTTCTTTTTCATCTGATGAAAACAGTTTTCTATTCCGATAATTAGTTTTTGAGTTATTTAAGAAAAAAGTACGAGAAACCAAGAAAAAATTGTTTTGCAATTTTTTCAAAAAGTATTGCAGATTTCGCCACCCAACCCTTCTCATTCGGAACGTAACTAGAAAGTACGTGTTTTTGTCATGTATATATATCTTCTCCCATTTCAAGTTTTCTTGTAAATAACTAAAAACCAGATGTTAGTGAACAAAAAACAAGCTTTTCACCAAGTTGGAACTTACACTCAGGCTTAGGATTAATTTCCTAACATTTTTAAAGTATACCTTTTTGTGTATTTTTTTGTGCTCTTTCCGATGCCGAAGTTAGTTTTTTCAAATATATTTTTTGTTAGATGTTTTCGGAAAACCCGGAGAAAATCATATGGGAAAAAATAAAAAAAACTACGCCTTCCGGTTTCCTGCGAATTCCCGAAAAATTATGGCAGATTTCGCCGCGGGACTTATTTTATTTGAGAGCCAACAAAAAAATATGCAACTTCTTTCATGGGCACATATGTCTAACATTTATAATTTCGCCACAAATTCATCGCCAATTTCATGTCCATGGTTCTGATCAAAGAAATGAAAAAACAACTTTTTGGTAAAAGCACTTCTGGCGGCGAGAAATTCGCCATTGAAACTACTTGTGCAATGAATTTCCGAACTATTTTTGCCTCCTCTTTCGATTGGTGCACTTATTTTTACTATCGGAATGATACTTGCCCAGATAATTAGCATTTTTACATTGGAAAATTCCGGAAAACCCGGTTTTTCATAATTTAAAAAAATTGAACAACAGCTACATCTTTTTTCGCTTTTTTGCGGAAAGAGCATATCAAAATACATAAGGTCCACTTTGTTTCATCCAATTACAAATTAATGTAAGCTCAAAGGGGCTTTTCTTCATTATTTAATTGGTGTTTCCGAACTTGGCGTCCAAATTTGTAGGGGTGGTAGTTCGCATAATTTGAGAGCGATTGGCAGATTTCATTTTTCTAAAAAAATATAATAAAAAAAATCTAAGAGCAGGTCCTACCCTGAGCGCGTAGCGCAATAGTTCTCAAAAACAGATGCGATTTGCAATTTTATCGATTCTAAGCGTAGCGCGCGCGAGTCGAAGTGTTCCATCGCTGTGCAGGACCGTACTTGTTTATAATTTTTAATTAACTTTTAATAATTTTTATTTTAAATGTTTTGGAAAAATGAAATCTGCGAATCGGTCTCAAATTATGCGAACTACCACCCCTACAAATTTGGACGCCAAGTTCGGAAACACCCTCTATAGTAATATTTTGATTTTTCATTTATTTAAATGCTGACACGCACTGCGCATGTTTGTGAATTGAATTCTCTCATTATTTTCATTCTCTCTACCTAAAAGTAGGAGAAAGTTTTGAAAGAAAATTCTCCACCAATTTTGGTGAATTCAATTTCAGGAATACGAATTTTTACAAGGGAGTAGAACGTGAGAATCTCCTCTCAATATTTCTCACTCCCCGATATCAAGAATAGGCACCCTGAAAAAATGTTGTACCTACGCCCGGTCACAAGAATGCCCGGTCTTAACCAGATAAGCTCAGTTTTTATTGACGCGCTCTCGGATATCGGTAAAAAGTATCATTTGGTTCATTATTTAATGAAAATCATTTAAAAATTGGTTAATATATTAACAGAAGTTTTTTTTTATATATTATAGGGATGCACATATGTGATATTCAAGATAATGGCGACATTTTTAATGAAAACAAAGGTGTATCAAGACTGTTTAGTTTTTTACAAGCGCTAACCGCTATGTTTGGCAGTTTCGCACACGGTGGTAATGATGTAAGGTATAATAAATCGCATTTTTAAATATGCCGAATATTAATCAATTCATTCTTTTGACAGCAATGCTATTGGACCTTTAATAACGCTATGGCTTATTTACTCTGAAGGAACCGTACAGCAAAAAGCCGAAACGCCTTTGTTTATTTTGTTATATGGTGGGTTTGGCATTTCTGTTGGATTATGGTTGTGGGGTCGAAGAGTTATCGAAACCATTGGAGAGGATTTGACTACAATAACTCCTTCTACGTAAGTCTTTAATAACAATATTATACAGGGTGATCGTTAAGATGCTCTTCCTTTTAAGATAAAAAGTTTATACAAACGTAGGTCCTAAACAATTTAATTTTTAAAACACAGGGTATTGAAATATATAAGAAAAATGTTTTTTCTAAATATGTAGAAGTCGAAAATTAGTAACAAGTTGAAAATTGCTGAACATTTTTACTGCAGCAAGAAGAGTCGTTTAGGCAAAATAAGTTTTTTGGTTTTACCAGTGGCACGGGAAAAGTAACTAATCAGATTTAATTTTAAAAAATATATGGTGCTTCACTGTTTTTTATCAATCTAAAACTATTTTAAGATTCGGTAATTAAAATAGTACAAAACATCATCCTTCCAGTTTGCGAGCAATTTTCACGGACTATTTAGAGCAGCGATTTCGTGAGTCTATCGTGTCGTTTTTTTTTTCTGGCGTAAAACCAGGTCAAACATGGTAGGTTTCTTTGAGCATGTGACTGGGTATATGAAATCGCATTTGACGACATTTTTTTGTGGTCTCGCATTTTGTAAATCGAAAAAAGTTAATTAATTGTATTAAAAAAGAATTTATATATTTTTTTGTTTCCACGGTAATATCTTTAAAACTAATAGAGATACTGAAATTATTTTTGTATCAAATTAAAGAATACATTGTAGCGCTATTAGCAATACAAGCGGCTTGGACACAATTCCCACTTTTATTTATCTAAAACTCAAATGAAGTAAAAATATATATTTTATGTATTAAAATTTTCACCAATCGGCAAACTTTTTTATTTTTGAAAATTTTTATATACTTGCAGCGAATAAAATAAAGACTATGCATCATAAAAGTTTTTAAAATCATTACTTTTTTCCTAAAGTGTATCGTTTGGCAACACCGATTTTTTTTGCAATACGCTCCGCAAACATGATATAGGACGCGTAGTCTAAGTAGAGGTGTTTGACGTTGTACATTGTTTGTTGTGTGCAATTATTTCATTTTTGTTAGAAAATAAAGTGTATTTGTAAGAAGATTGTGCAGGATGGCGACAAATCTGTGATACAGAGGCCTAGAATACAAAGTTTGTTATCATTAATATCAAGTGCTCAAAAAAAGACAAGATAATGTTGCTAAAGAAATGCTGTCCAAAAAAATGGTATTTTAAACGGCGAAATTAAAATAAGATATCATATAGACTGCCGCAAATCTTACACAAGTTCTAATAACATTGATCGTTATTTGCAATATTAGAAAAGTATGCAATGGCTTCATTTTAACCAAAAACTGGATTTCCCACACCAGATGATATTAATAAAATGAGGTTTCAGAATGACGTTCCAAATATGTTACTACTGTTCGTGTCATGGCTTATAGATGCAAAGCTATTTGCCAAGGTAAAACAAGAAAGCGATGATAAAGAAAATATATATGTACCTAAATGTTTGGCGAAGGTTTCACCTGAGATAAAAATTACATTCGGCCAAGTATTGATAATTTTGACATTAACGAAAAAAACATTGATGGAAAAGGAACAACACATGCCATGGTTGTGTTTCAAGAAAAACAGTCTATACAACCAATTAGGGACCCGATTAAAGGAGGTAAATTCGCTTTAAGCATAAAAGAAATGGACATAAGTCTGCAGCGACTTGAAAAATATAATAAGCCTAAACCCCGTCCTGTACTTCCTGAATTAAAGTTACCAACAATATCTCGAGAAAATTTAAATTGCTGGAAAAAGATGAATTTATTTTGGCGATTGTTGAAATTACTTCAGAATTAGTATTCTTTTTTGAGATGGAGTGATGTTCAAAATATTATATCTAAAAATAATATTCCAGTTTCATCAATTATATACCTTTCCTTTTTGAATGCTCCACCAACATAATTTAACACAATTTTTACAGCAATGGTAAGGTTAGTACAATGGCATTTATTGTAAGTATAGGTTATATTTTTGCTCATGGTAGACTTACTTCGATTCTTGTCGAAACAGATATTTACGCAGAAAATTCTTGTCGTCTAATGCTCGATGAAAAGCAGTACTATCGCGCTATTCGAAGCCTAACATAGCAGCTGATGCAATGTCTCGATTATTTTACAAGTCACTAAATAAATGGTACGAAGAAAATAAAGGACAAAATTTTTTACTGACGAGCTGAAAAAAGAAATGGACTGAGTAATAAAATCAAAAATTGACGAAGTAGGTAACTTGCCTTCTTGAAGATCACAACAAAGTTGTAGCAGAATTTGTAAACTTGGGTTGCGGTTCATCAAAAACATTTAAATATTGGTACTTTTTTGAGACAATCGATTTACTTTGGAGAATGCTCAGTGCTGAAAGAAATGGAGATTTTGAAAGTCATCTGTGACAATCGAAAATGCACTTGTGTTAAAAAAGGCCTAAAATGTTGTAACGAGTGTAAATGTCGTTTCTCAAACACACAGTATTAAAGATTTCGACGTAGATCCAGAAGATGACAAATTAGAGTACTATTAATGTAGCATCTAAATAATAAATATTATGTCAACCATAAACCTTACTTTATTCTTACATTTTTACTTTCCTATCTGTATACAGATATATTACTTTCCTATCTGTATACAGATATAAGGAAAGTATAGGAATCATGATTTTTTTCGACCTCGAGTTTTCGACGGATTTTTACGTTTTGAGGTCCCCTGAATCCGTTTTGACTATTTTCGCGATGATGTCTGTGTGTGTGTGTGTGTGTGTGTGTGTCTGTGTGTGTGTGTGTCTGTGTGTGTGTCTGTATAACGCATAAATCATGAACCGATACATAGAAAAACACCAAATTTTAAACTTAAGCTTTGTTTCAACGTCCAATGAGCTGATTAGATTTTGGGCAGAGTCGGAACATCTGGGGGGGTACTTTATAGGTGGTCATTTTTATATTTTATGGAATATATCTGTTATTTACGTTTGGAGAAGAAAATTCTTCAAATAAAAGTTACTTCTAATATAATTATCTATAATTTTTGTTTTATGCAAAATTTTCCTAAAATGGTCCGTATTCGAGAAATTTGACAAAATGTAAAAAAAATAATTTTTTATAAAAATTGTTCAAATAAAAGTTGTTTGTAATATAATTCTCTATAATTTTTATTCTATACATAATTTCTCTAAAATGGACCGTATTCGAGATATTTGAGAAAATGTGTAAATTTCGAATTTTGAAGAAAACTCAAAAACGGATAAAGAAAAAAACATTAAATTTTAAACTTAAGGATTATTTCGGCCTGACGTAAAATGATTAGATTTTGGACAAAGTCGGAACATCTGGGGGGGTACTTTATGGGAGGCCGTTTTTATATTTTATGGAATATATCTGTTATTAATGTTTGGAGAAAAAAATTGTTCAAATAAAAGTTACTTCTAATATTATTATCTATAATTTTTGTTTTATGTAAAAATTTCCTGAAATGGTCCGTATTCGAGAAATTTGACAAAATGTGCAAAATTCTGATTTTTATGAAATTTTTTGGAATAAAAGTTGTTTGCGATATCGATCTCTACAATTTTTGTTTATACATGATTTTTCTAAAATGGACCGTAATGAAAAAATTGTAGGAAATTTAAATTTTTCAGTATTTTCGTTTTCCATGAATATCTATAGAAAAATGTTTCAAGGTAGATGTATGTGGACAATGTATATATTTAGTTTATCCTCTAAACATTTATAGAGATGCTGCAATAGGTTGTACAAAATAACCGGAAAAGCCTATAATATCTAGATAGGAAAGTCATGTGTTGGACACATCAGATTTTTACTGTGTGTGTCTGTGTGTGTGTGTGTGTGTCTGTATAACGCATAACTCATGAACCGATACACAGAAAAACACTAAATTTCAAACTTAAGCTTTGTTTCAACGTCCAATGAGCTGATTAGATTTTGGGCAGAGTCGGAACATCTGGGGGGGTACTTTATAGGTGGTCATTTTTATATTTTATGGAATATATCTGTTATTTACGTTTGGAGAAGAAAATTCTTTAAATAAAAGTTACTTCTAATATAATTATCTATAATTTTTGTTTTATACAAAATTTTCCTAAAATGGTCCGTATTCAAGAAATTTGACAAAATGTAAAAAAAATAATTTTTTATAAAAATTGTTCAAATAAAAGTTGTTTGTAATATAATTCTCTATAATTTTTGTTCTATACATAATTTCTCTAAAATGGACCGTATTCGAGATATTTAAGAAAATGTGTAAATTTCGAAATTTGAAGAAAACTCAAAAACGGATAAAGGAAAAAACATTAAATTTTAAACTTAAGGTTTATTTCAGCCTGACGTGAAATGATTAAATTTTGGACAAAGTCGGAACATCTGGGGGGGTACTTTATGGGAGGCCGTTTTTTTATTTTATGGAATATATCTGTTATTTATGTTTGGAGAAGAAAATTGTTCAAATAAAAGTTACTTCTAATATTTTTATCTATAATTTTTGCCTTATGTCAAAATTTCCTGAAATGGTCCGTATTCGAGAAATTTGACAAAATGTGCAAAATTCTGATTTTTATGAAAATTGTTGAACTAAAAGTTGTTTGCGATATCGATTTCTATAATTTTTGTTTTTACATGATTTTTCTAAAATGGACCGTAATGGAAAAGTGCTAAATTTAAATTTTTCTGTATTTTCGTTTTCAATGAATATCTATAAAAAAATGTTCCGAGGTAGATGTATGTGTAAAATGTATATATTTAGTTTATCCTCTAAACATTTATAGAGATGCTGCAATAGGTTGTACAAAATAACCGGAAAATGCCTATAATAACTAGATAGGAAAGTCATGTGTTGGACACATCAGATTTTTAGTTTAATTCAATTAAAAATGTTTAATATACTACTAATTAGGTCCGCCGATCGCGGTCGCAGGCCGGAGCCGAGCGCGCAAGAATATGATTTTGGCCCGTTTAAGAAAAATCGCTGACTCGATACTATAACCGACACATAAAAAGTTTTTATTCTAAAAACTTTT